AGGCAGTTTGTGGGCACGGTGTGCAGGCTAAGTCCAGGATGCATCCTGGCCGCGACATAGATGCAGCCTAATTTTAAGGCATTTCTATGCAATTTTTGGGACTCGGTGTGCAGGCCAAGTTTGGGACATGTCATGACCACGATAGGGACGCAGCCTGATTTCCAGGCAATTTCTATGTCATAGGGTTTTGGGTTTTTTTAATTAATTTAGAATTAAAACGAGGAAATATATACATGACAAAGGATAATGAAAATAAAATGTAGCTCAACGTTACAACCCATGAATAATAAAACTAGTCTACACAATAAAACCAAACTTCCCACCATCGCAGTGTAACAAATAAACCCCTACACTGCCTTCAGATCAGTGCTGTCGTTAGTCAAGGCTGGCGCAAGTGCATGGTAGTGGTGATGGTGATGATGAAGAGAAGGTCCCCGTGCGATAGATTGGTGGCCAGACCAATGTTTATCAGACAGAACCATAACCTCTAGCTTTTGAACCTTCTAACAATGTTCTTTAGCTCCATTGATGAAGAAAAATGGACCTAATTTTTCTAGTGAAATTGTAGTTTCTCCATCATGGTGTTATTTTATTGGATTAGCATTGTTGCAGATTTTTTAGTCTTTCTCGATCACTTCCAGCACTGAATCAGTATTGAAATCATACTTAAGAACTAAAGAATCTCCAATCTGAAAATGAGTTTTCTCAGCCCATTTGTTGAACTTGTCAACAGAAGATGGAACTACCCATAAATTATTTTCACCACCTACTACAAACTCTCTTGCTTCAAAAAGAACACACAGTAAAAACACGACGATCAAAAATAAGAAAATATTTTTAAGTGTACCCATTTTAAGCGAAAAACCAAAAGATTTTTAAATAAAATTTGAGTAATTTTGTAGACAATAGAGTAGAAAGGATTAGGGTTTCAGGTTTCGAGTTAAGGGTCTAGGGTTCAGGGTCCTAGGTTTAGGGTTCAGGTTTAGCGTCCAAGGTTCAGGCTTCACAGTCCGGGGTCCAAGTTTTAGGGTTTAGGGCTTAGGGGTTATGGTTTGGGGTTTGGGGTTTGGGGTTTAGGGTTTCTGGTACACGGTGTGCAGGACATGTCCAGGACGTAGGCTTATTTTCAGGCATTCTTAGGCAGTTTCTGGGACACAATGTGCAGGCCATGTTCGGGACCCATCCTGGCTGCGGCAAGGACGTAACCTAATGTTCAGGCATTTCTAGGCAATTTGTGGGCACGGTGTGCATGCCATGTCCGAGACGCGTCCTGATCGCGACAGGGATGCAGCCTTATTTTCAAGCATTTCTAGGCAGTTTGTGGGCATGGTATGCAGGCAATGTTCAGGATGCTTCCCAGCCATGTTAGGGATGCAAGCAGATTTTCAACCAAATGAATGAAGTATGGTGTGCAGGCCATGTCAAGGCCGCATGCACGTTCCCAAGTATTTTGGGCGATTTTTGGGACACGGTGTACATGTCATATTCTGGATAAGTCATGGTCACGATAGGGACGCAGCCTAATTTTTAGGCTTTTTTCAACAGTTTCTGGGTGCAGGCCATGTCCGAGACGCAACCTAATTTTCTGGCATTTCAAGGTAGTTTCTGGGTCACGGTGTGCAAGCCATGTCCAGGACGCGTCCGAGCCATGCCAGGGATAGAGCCTGATTTTCAAGCATTTCAGGGCAGTTTTTGGGCACAGTGTACAGGCCATGTCCGAGACACGTCCTGATTGCAACAAGAATGCAATCTGATTTCTAAGCATGTCTAGACAGTTTTTAGGACACATTTTGCAGGCAATGTCCGGGATACGGTCGAGACGTCGCCTGATTTTCATGTATTTCTAGGCAATTTCTGGGAAATGGTGTGTAGGCCCTGTTCGGGATGCATCTGGGTTACGACAGGGACGTAACCTGATTTTCAGGCATTTCTAGGCAGTTCACGGGACACGGTGTGCAAGCCATGTCCAGGTCATGGCAGGCACCCAACCTAATTTTCAGGCATTTCTAGGCAGTTTCTGGGACACGTTGTACGGGCCATGTCCGAAACACGGCATGGACGTAGCCTGATTTTCAGGCACTTTTGGGCATGATGTGTAGGCCATGTTAGGGATGCGTCCTGGCCACGGTAGGGACATAGCCTGATTTTCAGGTATTTCATGGCAATTTTTGGGCACAGTGTGCATGCCATGTCCGGGAGGCGTCTTGGCCGCGGTAGGGATGCAGCCTCATTTTTAGGCATTTCTAGGAAATTTCTAGGACTCAGTGTGCCGGCCATGTCCAAGAAGCGACATGGCCAAGGTGGGGACGTTACTTGATTTTCAGGCATTTATGGGCAGTTTTTGGGCATTGTGTGCAGGCCATGTCTCGGACACGTCCTATTATGATAGGGATGTAGCCTGATTTTCGATCATTTTTAGGCAGTTTTCTAGGTCACAGTATGCAAGCCATGACCAGGATGCGGCAGGGACGTATCCTTATTTTCATGTATTTCTATGCAGTCTTCTAGGGTATGGTGTACAGGCATTGTCCAAGACCAGGATGCAACCTGATTTCAAGGCATTTCTAGGCAGTTTCTATGACACGGTGTGCAAGCCATGACCAGGACGCGTCCGAGCCACGGCAGGGACGCAGCCTAATTTTCAGGCATTTTTGGAAAGTTTTTGGGCACCGTGTGCAGGCCACGTCTGGGACGCCTCCTTGTCGCAGTAGGGGCACAGCCTGATTTTCAGGCATTTGTAGGCAATTTCTGGGTACGGCGTGCAGGCCATGTCCGGGATGTGTCTTGGCTGCGACAGGGACGCAGCCTGATTTTCTGACATTTTTGACAGTTTCTGGGACTTGATGTCCAGGTCATGTTCGGGACGCATCATGGCCGAAATAGGGACGGAGACTGATTTTCAGGCATATTTTTGCCGTTTCTAGGACACGGTGTGCAGGCCATCTCCAGGATGCGATAGGGATGTATCTTGACTTTCAGGTATTTTTTGGTAATTTCTGGAACACGATGTGCAAGCAATGTTCGGGACGCGTCAGGGCCGCGGCAGGGATACAGCTGGTTTTCAGGCATTTCTAGGCTATTTTCGTGACACGATGTGCAGGCCATGTCTAGGATGCTACAGGGATACATCCTAATTTTCACATATTTCTAGTCAATTTCCTGGGCACGATGTGCAGGCAGTGTTTGGGATGCACAGCGCTGCTATAGGGATGCAGCCTGATTTTCAGACATTTCTAGGCAGTTTCTAGGACACGGTGTGCATGCTATGTCTAGGATGCGACAGGGACGTAACCTAATTTTCAAGCATTTTTGAGCAGTTTCTGGGACACGATGTGCAAGCGATGTCCGGGATGCGACCCAATTTTCTGTCATTTTTGGGAAGTTTTTGGGCACGGTGTGTAGGCCAAGTCCTAGACGCAGTCTGATTTTCTAGCATTTCTTGACAATTTGTAGGACTCGGTGTGCAGGTCATGTCCGGGATGCGTCATGACCACGACGGGGATGGAGCCTGATTTTTAGGCAATTCTGGGACACGGTGTGCAGGCAATGTCCGAGTCGCGTCTGGGCCGCAGCAGGGATAGGGCTTTGCTTCCAGGCATTTCTAGGCAGTTTTTGGGACACGATGTGCTGGCCATGTCTAGGATGCTACAGTGACACATCTGATTTTCACTTTTTTCTAGTCAATTTCTTGGACACGATGTGCTGGCAATGTCCAAGCCGCGTCGGGGCTTCTGCAGGAATGCAGCCAGATTTTTAGGCATTTCTAGGCAGTTTTTTGGATACGGTGTGCAGGCCATGTCTAGGAAGCGGCAGGGACGCAGCCTGATTTTCAGGCATTTCTAGGCAGTTTCTGGGACACTATGTGCAGGCCATGTTCGGGGCACACTAGGGACGCAGCCTGATTTTCAGGCATTTGTGGGAAGTTTTTGGGCATAGTGTACAGGCTATGTCCTAGACGCAGCCTGATTTTCAGGTATTTCTTGTCAATTTCTGGGTCATGGTGTGCAGGTCATGTCCGAGACGCGTTCGGGCCACGGTAGGGATAGAGCCTTATTTTCAGGTAATTCTGGGCAGTTTTTGGGCACGGTATATAGGCCATGTTCGAGATGCCTCCTGGCCAAGTAGGGATGGGGCCTAATTTTCAAGCATTTCTGGAAAGTTTTTGGGCACGGTGTGCAGGTCATGTCCTAGACGTAGCCTGATTTTCAAGTATTTCTTGTTAGTTTTTACGTCACGGTGTGCAGGTCATATCCAAGACGCATCCAGGCCATGGCAAGGACAGTGCCTGATTTTCAGGTAATTTCGAGCAATTTCTGAGCACAGTGAACAGGCCATGTCTAAGACGCATCCTGGCCCGACAGTGATACAGCCTGATTTTCAAGCATTTTTGGGGAGGTTTTGGGTACGCTGTGCAGACCATGTCCTAGATGCAGCCTATTTTTAGGCATTTCTTGTTAGTTTCTGGGTCACGGTGTGTAGGCCATGTCCGGGACGCGTCCTGACCAGGGCTGGGATGGAGCCTAATTTTTAGGCAATTTCTAGTAGTTTTTGGGCACGATGCACCGGCCATGTCCGGGACGCCTCCTGTCCAGGTAGGGATGCAGCCTGATTTTCAGGAATTTCTAGGCAGTTTGTGGGTACGGTGTGCTGACCAAGTTCAGGATGCATCCTGATAGCAGCAGGGATGCCGCCTGATTTTCAGGCATTTCTAGGCAATTTTTGAGACTTGTCATGGCCACGGCAAGGATGCAGCCTGATCTTTAGGCAATTCTAGATAGTTTTTGGGTCATAAGGTTTGGGGTTTAGGGTTTTTTAATTAATTTTGAATGAAAAACATGTAATATATACGTGACAAAGGATAATAAAAATAAAATGTAGCTCAAAGTTACAACCCATGAGTAATAAAACTATTCTACACAACAAAACCAAACTTTCCACCATCGTAGTGCCACAAATAAACCCCACCGTCGCCTTCAAACTAGTACTACCGCTAGTCGAGGCTAGCGTCGATGCATGGTAGTGGTGAGGTGATGTTGAGAAGAAGGTTCCTTTGCTGTAGATTGGTGGCCGAAGCCATTTTTTTCGGACAGAACCATAACCTCTAGCCTTTGACCCTTCTGGCAATGTTCTTCAGCTCCACTGATGAAGAAAAATAGACATGATTTTTCTAGTGAAATTGTAGTTTCTCTATCATTGTGTGATTTTATTAGATTGGCATTGTTGGAGATTTTGTAGCCTTCCTCGTTCACTTCCAGCACTGAATGAGTCTTGGAATTATACTTCAAAACTAAAGAATCCCCAATCTGAAAATGAGTTTTCTTAGCCCATTTGTTGAACTCATCAACAGAAGATGGAACTGCCCATAAATTATTTTCACAGCCCACTACGAACTCTCTTGCTTCAGAAAGAACACATAGGAAAAACGTGACGGCCGAATATGAGAAAATATTTTTGAGTGAAGCAATTTTAACACGGTGTGCAGGCAATGTCCGGGATGCGTCTGGGCTGCGATAGGGATGCAACCTGATTTCCAAGCATTTCTAGGCAGTTTTCGGGATACGGTGTGCAGGTCATGTCTAGGATGAGTCAGGGACGCAACCATATTTTCAGGTATTTCTAGGCAGCTTCTAGGACATGGTGTGCAGGCCATGATCGGGACGCGTCCGGGTCACGACAGGGGCATAACCTACTTTTCAGGCATTTTCGGGAAGTTTTTGGCCATGAAGTGCAAGCCACGTCCAAGACGCGTCCTAGCTGCTGTAGGGACATAGCCTGATTTTCAAGCATTTTCAAGCAATTTTTGGGACTCGATATGCAATCCATGTTCGGGCCTCGTCTGGGCCGCGATAGGGATGCAGCCTGGTTTCCAGGCATTTCTATGCAATTTCGGGGGCACGGTGTGCAAGCCATGCCCAGGATGCTATACGGACACATCCTAATTTTCACGTATTTCTACACATTTTCTTGGACACGGTGTGCAGGCAATGTTCGGGACGCGTCGGGGCTACTTCAGGGATGCAGCCTGATTTCCAGGCATTTGTGGGTAGTTTCTAGGACACGATGTGCAGGCCATGTCTAGGATGTGGCAGGGATGCTACCTGATTTTCAAACATTTCTAGGCATTTTTTGGGATACGGTGTGCAGGCCACGTCCGAGATGCATCCGGGCCACGACAGGGTCGCAGCCCGATTTTCAAGCATTTTTGAGAAATTTTTGGACACGATGTGCAAGCCTTGTCCTAGACGCAGCCTAATTTTCAGGCAATTCTCTTTAGTGGGTTGCGGTGTGCAGGTCATGTCAAGGACGCGTTAGGACTATGGCAGGGATGGAGCTTGATTTTCAGGTAATTTCGGGTTTTGGGGGACGGTGTACAGGCCATGTCCTAGACGCCTCCTGGCCAGGTAGGGATGCAGCCAGATTTTCAGGCATTTTTATGTAGTTTGTGGACACGGTGTGTTGGCCAAGTTCGGGATGCATCCTGGCCGCGACAGAGACGCAGCCTGATTTTTAGGTATTTCTAGGGAATTTTTGGGACTTGGTGTGCAGGCCAAGTCCGGGACGTGTCATGGCCACGGCAGGGACGCAGTCTAATTTTCAGGCATTTCTAGGCAAATTCTGGGTCATAGGGTTTAGTGTTTAGGGTTTAGGGTTTTTCTTCAATTAATTTTGAATTAAATGCAGGAAATATATACATGACAAAGAATAATAAAAATAAAATGTAGATCAACGTTACAACCCATGAATAATAAAATTAGTCTACACAACGAAACAAAACTTCCCACTGTCGTAGTGCCACAAATAAACCCCACCCCCGCTTTTAGACCAATACCACCGTTAGTCGAGGCTAGCACCGGTGCATGGTAGTGGCGAAGGTGATGATGAGAAGAAGGTGGCTGCGCTCTGTAGATTAGTCGCTGGAGCCACGTTTATAGGACAGAACCATAACCTCTAGCTTTTGACCCTTCTAGCAATGTTCTTCAGCTCCACTGATGAAGAAAAATAGACCTGATTTTTCTAGTGAAATTGTAGTTTCTCCATCATGGTGTGATTTTATTGGATTGGCGTTGTTGCAAATTTTGTTGTCTTCCTTGGTCATTTCCAGCACTGAATCAGTCTTGGAATCATACTTCAGAACTAAAGAATCCCTAATCTGAAAACGAGTTTTCTCAGCCCATTTGTTGAACTCGTCAACAGAAGATGGAACTGCCCATAAATTATTTTCACCGCCTATTACAAACTCTCTTGCTTCAAAACGAACACACAACAAAAACATGACGCTCGAAAATAAAAAATAATAATTTTGAGTGAAGCCATTTTAACACGGTGTGCAGGCAATGTCCGGGACGCGTCAAGGCCACGGGAGCGATGAAGCCTGATTTTCAAGCATTTTTAGGCAGTTTGTGGGATATCGTGTGCAAGCCTTGTCCAGGATACGACAGGGACGTATCCTGACTTTTAGGTATTTCTAGGCAGTTTCTGAAACACGATTTACAGGAAAGGTCCGGGACGCGTCTTGGGCGTGGCAGGGATGCAACTTGATTTTCACGTATTTCTACGTAATGTCTTAGATATGATGTATAGGCAATGTCCGGGAGGCGTCGAGGCTACGGCATGGATGCAGGCCAATTTCCAGGCATTTGTAGGCAGTTTCTGGGACACAGTGTGTAGGCCATGTCCAGGA